GAAGAAGAGGGGAGGAGTGATTTTCTAAAGGCTTTAAGGACCTATTTATAGTTTTTTAGGGGAGAGAAAGGAAGTTTCTAGAATTTTTGAATTCCTAAATTTTTCTAAAATTTTCGGAATTTTTCATATTTTTTTGTGAATTTTTTGGAATTTTTTAGAATTTTTTCTGGACAAAAAACATGAAAAAGATAATTTTTCATTGAGGTGGGGCCCACTTGAGGCGGTGGGCCGAACCGCCTCACCTCCCACCGCCTTATGGAGCGGCAGCTCCAAGCGGTGCGGGCCACCTCGCGGGTCAGGCGGGCCCGTTGGAGCAGGCAGCGCGGGTCAGGCGGCCCGCTGCGGCGCTCAAGCGGTACGCTTGCGACAACTCGCGAGTCAGGCGGGAACCGACGCGCGGGTCAGGTCAGGCTGTGCGGCCGCAGCGGTCAGGGCCCGGACCCGGCTTGTGCGCGGCCAGGCAGCCCGCTCTGCGGACCGCGCCGGGTCAGAGCGGCCCTGCTGGAACGCGGGCCGCGCGTTCGTGCACACGCGGCGCGGCACGCCGTTCCGGCCGTCCGGCTGCCCAACCATTTCGGACCCAAATTTCATCCGAAAGTCTGATTTCGAACGTTTTTGGGGTCTCCGGACACGTTTTTTAACATTCCAGACTCAAATTTGGATACTTCGAGCCAAATGGGGCTTCTTATCAAGATCGAGCAAATTGTTAACTTTGGAAGCAATTTGTTTGTGAATTTGACTGGTGAAAAATTTGGAACAAATATTTCGGACTCCTAGAGCTTCTGACGTCCGAAATAGGGGGCAACTGATAACGCTCATGCAAAATTATCTTGATCGGACACGAATCTCGAGGCAAAAGGCTAGTTGGAAACTTCAAATTTAATTTCGGGAGCATCCAAACTCCGATTTCAGCGAGCTTATAGTCAAACTGAGCGTCTCAGAAATACGAACCCGACGACACCAAGTTCAACTCAATCCGAGCCCAAATGAGTCCAAATCAAGGGCTCAAAGTGCTGTTGGAAGGTTCAAACAGCAATTTGAGTTACCAAACGGTCTTCGATTTCGACAATCTTATACTCGAATCGAACAGATCGACGAGAAAAATCCAACGAGCCCAAGATCGCTGAATTCCGACATCATTAAGACCTCCAAATGTCCAACAAACGGGGCATGATCTAAGGGTTCACTATCGGCCTACAATTCGAACCACTCCCTATTCGCCCTTGATCTCACACCTATTTACGGGCCATGCCACTCCAGAAAATCTATAAATAGAGCCCTCATTCTTCACAAGAGGGGATCCAAGCAAGAGAGAGAAGAAGAGAAGAGAAGGAAGAAGAGAAGGAAGGAGCTCCTCCTCGACAGCCGCCGGACCACCGCAGAACCTCGTCGGACCACCGCCGGACCACCGTAGAAACCTCGCCGGATCACCGCAGGACCTCGCCGGACCACCGCCTTAAGGCCCGACGTTCAGCCCCTACGTCCTGCCGAAGACCCGACGTTCTGTTCAAGGCCTGACACTCAGTCCCTACGTCCTGCTGAAGATCCAATATGAATTAAATTGAGATAAATTTTGTATATTTGGGGATCAAATTTAAAAAATATGATTCTATGGGGATAAATTGACAACACATGAATAGTCTCATGATTTTTTTGAGATATAAGAATATGAATAAGACAAAGTGATACGTACATTCAACTAGATCAAAATTTATAAATAAGTCTTAGTTGAAAATGTTTCATTTGAGATAACTTTTTTACTGTTTTTTAAAACGGTTTTCAAGTATAAAAGTTTTTAATTCAAAAAATTCTTATATTAAAACCTATTTTAGAAAAGCAGCAAAAACTTTGTCCAAAATGAAGACTAATTCATGGTTTGAAAGCTGAAATAGACAGGAAAGCTCTATGGATCTAGAAGATATCTTTTTCAAGTGTTCTTCTTTAGCTAGTTTTTTGTCTGACTAGGTGGGAGGATTCTCATTGAAAACGTTGTTAGAACTATAGATAATTTTAATTGAAAATTCATTGAGAATCTGTTCAATGTTAAAACTCTATATAATCTTTGCCAAATTTTATTAAAAATTGGGCGACATTATGTTAAAGCTAATTTCTTAGAATTACACTTAAATTAAACTTAAATTCTTCTGAAATTCTGCTTAATAGCCATGAAAACTCTTCTAAAGCTTTACCAAAAATTTTCAAAATCAAATGCTTAACATGCCTAATGAATTCTAGATTAATCGGCATATCCTTTAGTATTTTGCGTTGACATTTCTTCTCAAAGTAGTGTACAGTGTCCGACGTGTAGCAGACACGTCAGAAACATCTAAGATTATAAAATACTAAAAATAAATTGGACACACATATCCTAGGTGTTTTATAAAAAGTTTGTAATATAATCTCTTATACTCTATATCTTAATTTGATAAAAAATAAAATTAAATTTCTTATTTCCTCTCAATAATCCTAAGTCAATTGTCCACACTCAATATCCTATTCTCCGATCATTCTCATTTTCATTTCTCTTTGGCATATTGTTGCTATGGTTTTACAATAACATCTGATGTCTTCGCGATATTAACATCGATCATCGTTATAATATAAATGTTTCAAAACCATCTTAAAATCAAAATTTAACTCCAATATTTTCTACACCCATAATCATGCCCTTTAGTACTGGAAAATCATGAAATACTGGGGGACTTTCTGGCGGCTATGGGTCCATCGGAAAGTCTGGCGGCCAAGCTGGCGGATTAATGGCTGGTATTCACCAACATTTATACCGGCTTTATGACCGCCACAAATTCCAGCTGTATGCTAGCTGCCGGTTCAACTTATGTTCAACACATTTTCCGGCGAATTGACTGCCAGTTTCAAGTAAAAATTTTTATTGTAGTTGAGGCCGCCAGAAATACTGCATGTAGGATCCCTATTTCGGCCGACCCATTCTTTCTTCCTCATTTTAACATGTCTTCGTCCTATAGAAAGCTAAGACCCTCTCTCATCAAATCAATGTATTGCTTTTCCTATGCAGTTTATAAAGAATAAAAAATTCGTCAGAAATTTGAATTTTTGCTAAAAAAGTGTCCGTTTCTGCTGGAAAATCCCGCTGGTAACGGCCGATTTTCCTATAGTGCTTGTGCCGTCTAGGCATCTCATCTTTTTGTCTAACAATGTCTCAAAATAGATGACCAGTGCTGTCTCGATATCAACGATCGATGCCTAACTCATGGTTTCATTTTCGTCTATCTTCTTAATGCTTGAAGCACAACATCAACGTCCAACTCTTGACATCCAAATATTAATCATTTTAATCACATATCATAATTAAATGATTTATTATTTCTCAGTTATTCTTAATATTATATTTCTTCAATATCTATGTACTATTTTTAAGATATAAAAATTATAATAGTATGTTCAACCAGTATTTGTATCCTATATTTTTAATAATTGATGCATCCATATCGTTGTGTATGTGTCGCTGTGTTGATATATGTGCATCATAAAAAATTAGTAATTAGAAAATTGTTTTCAATGTAACAGCACTGAACTCAAAGTCTTTGGTATGCATATAAAGAAATAGAACCGCTGCGCGTATAGTAGTTACTTAAAACAATATACAAATATTAGCCATACCAATTTGCAACCCTACCATCAAATATCAGCCACAGTTTAGTCCAAGATCAAAGAAGTGCAAGATACGATTTAAACAACTTCTTCAATATCTACAAATTGATAACAGATAACATTCAAGTCTTTAGAAATAATTCCAGCACTAGGTCTAGCTCCCAAGATCAATGATTAATCAAGAACATTCAAGATACAGAAAAATTGAGTTAAGAGAACTCTAAATTTATTAGACAAATTTGGTCTGAGTACCTTTATTGATAATATACAAGTGCTTAGAATTTTTAATTCTTCAATTAAAAACAAAGATCAAAATAGCTCTCAAGGAATTTGAGCAAAACTTTCCTTTTTCATCATGATCACAAGAACAGAGGAAACTTGTGACCAAAGTCACCAGCTAGGAGTGTCAAATATTGACCGACCAGAACTTGACCGGGAAAATTAGGATTTGGGTTGACTCGTTTAACAAATAGTTCATATTTGGTTTTCATTTTTTGACCCATTTGAAAAAATGGGCTGGGTCTGAGTCAACACGGTAATCCGAGTTTGACCTAATATTGACTTGTTAACTCTCTCCAGTCGCCTTCAACTTAGACCACACGCACACATCGCGATCGCACATCACACCTGTGCAATTGCCGCTCCACCCGTAGGCCACAACACCCCTTGCTTGGTCTGCCAGGCAACCCAAGTTGACCTCGTCGCGTCTCACACTCGCGCCGCTCTCCCTCACACAGTCACACACTCGCCTAATCGCACTTGCGCACTCGGCACTCTCTTGACTCACGTGATCCTTGCATATTGCCTTGCTCGCGGTTGCCATGCAATCTTGGGTAAAGTTGAGTCAACCCAGTAAACCAGCCGGTTGGGTCCGATTTTGAATCTCTGACCCATTTACAAAACTAGGTCAGGTTCAAATCAACCTGTTTGTACCCGGGAGATTGTTTCTATGTAAATTCTTAAAGAGAAGAATAGTATTTATCAAAATTTTCCCCTAGCATCATACATTTTGACTTCATTAAATTTTTTTGTCACAGATGAGCATAGCTGTACAGTTCATTAAAGTTAATAGATTAATGTATTAAAATATGGCCAGACAGCAAAAAATGGAAGCTTCCCCTCACCCTCCACGCCTCTATAATATATTTCTACATTTATTAAACGTTCGTTTTGGGGGAGGCTTATTAAACATTCAATCTAAAAAATTAGTTGGACCTCCTTTGCTGACCGCACTATAGGTAAACCACCGTAGACCAACATTCATTACTCTCCTTCTTCCTCCCTGAAGAAGGAAAGAGCTAAGAAAATCACATTGATTTGACACATATACAGTCAAGAGCGCGTCCAAACCTCTACAATTATATAAGCTTTCTCTCCTTCTCTTCCTTCAACTCAGTAAAATCGTGAGGATAGAGAGAGAGAATAGAATATATGGCCGGACGCAAGAGGGAATGGCTGAGGAAGAAAATGATGGGAAGAAAAGAGCAGAGGCAGTGGGCTGTTAATGGAAACGTGGGCTCCCTCTCATCGGCGTGGCGGCGGTGGAGGCAGAATCGTCGGTCGCTGTTGTCGGAGCCCTTCATTCAACGGGTGATATTCGACCGTTGTGTCTTCTATCTGATGTATGCGGTGGAGGCCGTCGTCCTCATTGCGTCTTTCTGCTACTTCTACCTCCGCTTCGGCTTCCGTCTTTAACGGTCATCTTTCTCATGAATTTGAATGTTATAGCTTTCTGTGAATGGAACAGGAAAGGACTTGGACTTGATTTGGAAGATCGAAACTGACTCTTTCATTTCTTGCATATTATGTAAATTTTGATTGTTTATGGAACTATAATAAAATTTAATTTTTATTTTTGCTGATTTCATCCAAATTTCGCAATTTATAACAAAGCCTAAATCTTATTCTTCATTTTAGATAAACCACTGGACTCTTTGATGAATCTGCTCACTTATTCGTGCATGAACTCCCACATGAGTTAGGATTGCAGATGCAGTTGGACTTTATTCACAATATCTTCATGTTTGATTGTTATTAAAGATCTTCGAGAAGAAGCTTTTCGATCTATATATAATTTTTTATTTAGTAAGTTGCGTTAAGGAAGATTGGATCAAACAAGAATCGATTGTGTTATATATGTTTAGTCCCAACTTTTAAGTTACCTGCTTTGAAATGTTTAGCCAGGCTTGAGCATGAAGGAATTTATTTTAAGAAAATAAGAATTATATTTTCTCAATAATGTTATTTATTTATTAGATTTAAAAGAGAATTTGATTTTTAAGATGACATGATGAAAACCCACGTAGTTGGAGAAAGGCATAATTTGATATCATTATCTACTTAAATTTGACTATTTCATCTACTCATTTAAGCTACAAACTACACAAATACTCTTTTCATATTTTTTCAAAAGATGATAAAGAGTCGGAAGAATTGAAAAACTTTACTGATTATTTTAGATTTTTTTAAAAAATTAACCTTTGAGCCTACTCATAGACCTAGTGCACCAAAAAACATCACCAGTGGATTAGTCCACAACATGAAAAATAATAATTTTTTCAGGGTAATCTTATAAAAGAAATAGAAAGAGAGCAAGCAATGAGGTTGAAGGAGTAAATAATAAATATTGTAGAATATTATCGTTCCAAACCTTTAACCTAGCATCCATACAGCTTTGCCCATAACACATAACAACTCATCACAACAAAACAAAATTTATAACATAAATAAGCATTAGTTCACATGACTTTCTAAGTACCCATTATATGCATGCACTACAAGAAAATCCGTCATTACCGGTGGCTTTTTCTGGCGGAACTTGAAGAATTTCCTGCGATACTGAAGTTTTCCAGTGGCCTTTCGGTAGTTTTTTTTTCTACCAGTATAAACCACGTAGGAAACTAAAACCGGCAGTTTTCCAGCGACCATAGCCGCCAAAAATAAAAAATAAAAAATATTTAAAAAATGAAGCTGCCAGGCTGCTCGCACGTGTTGCCCTTCTGCTTTGGGATTCGAAGTGAGTATGCTTCAAAGTCCCGACCAGTTTGCTGAAAAGACAAAAGTGTTTAAAGTGTAATATTTTTTTTATGTAAAATGTAATAAGAAAAAGTGGCCGGAAAGGCCCCCGGAAATGCCTTCGGAAACAAAGCCGCTGGACAACCGCCGAAAAATCTGCAAAAAAAAAATAGTTGGACATATTTTATCTTAGAATGCAGGAAGGCCGCCTGAAATAAACCGTCAGAAAGCCGCCGGAAAAATCCGCCGTAGTGATGTTACATCACTGCTAGAAATGCACGGTAGATCTTAAGAAAAATTTACAATAAAATAGAACATTTGAAGGGGCATGATACAAATCCTAAGCAGCATAATGCGTGGAGGTTATCTAAATGACAAATTGGGTAGTGAGTTGGCCCCAGATCATCCGAAATCCATCTGATAGCTCGAGTGACTTTAGGTGCTGAGTAGCTCAGCATATTAGTAGTATGCATGAGATTTCATTTACGCTATAGGAAAAATACGTTCGATAGATTTTTTTGGCAGAAATTTTACGTCGGAAATTTAAGAAGATTTTTGGATGGATTTTTGGCGAATTTTTGAAGAAATATTTATGACGGATTTTTTATGATTTTCCAATGGATTTCAATAAAATATTTACAACAAATTTCTGACGGATTTTAAATATTTCTAGGAAATAATTATATATTTATAATTAAAAAAAAGAATAAACTAATTAACTAAACAAATTAATTAATTTAAATAAACTAATAATATTAACTAATTAATTAATTAACTAAACTAATTTACAAATTTAAATTAATTAATTAACTAATATTATTTTGTAATTAATCATTATAATAATATCATATGAGTTATAATTTAAATAAAAAATAGTAATAACTCTAGCAATTTTTGCTTCGCGGCCGAGTGGATGGGTAATGGATATCCTCGTGAATGAACGGGGTTAGAACTCTCACACAGTCGCGAGTGTCAGGGCATAGTTGTTGGAAGAATTGATTATTATCAGAGCTGTACGTAGGATTTGATTGAGAATTGGGTAGATTTGGTAGTTTAAGGTGCATTAATTTACATACATAATTTAATAACATTAATTTGCATTAATTTACATTCCCAAATCCTTAAGGGAAATGTCGGGGACGATATTTTCTTAATGTGAGTAGATTGTAATAACCCGTATTTTTGACTTTGTTAATTTTTTTATGCAGTCATTATAACTCTAAATCGTAAACCGTCTTTGCCGTGATATTTTGATCGAAGTATTTTATTTACACGAATTTTTTTCGTAATTTTTGGACACCGATGAAAATCCTTAAAGAATTTGTATCTGTCGGTACAAATGAGAATTTTGGGACCTTTAGGTGTTCGTCTTGCAAACCGATTCACTGATATTTTTTTAAATATTATGATTTGTTTTATAAATTTTTTTTTGTAATTTTTTATCCCAAAAATTATTTATTTGAATTTTATACTAAAGAATTGATTTGATTAAATATTATGTTAATATTATAATATTATTTTATTATAAATATCTAAAGGCACTAAGTATTTAAAAAGCCATTTCCTTTCATTTTCGGCAACAGAAGAGAGCCTATGGGAAATGTGAGAGAAAGAGAAGAGACAATAAAGAAAAACACGGATTTGCAGGCTGCAATGTGATTTTCTGTCTATCTGGTCAGTTGAAAGATTTGCTCATCTCGTTGTAAGAAATCTTTATCTTATTTTTTATTCTAAAGGTTTTATATTTTTTTATATTTTTTCTTTCAAATTTGTATTTTCCTTTTCTCCCTCATTCTCATTCTCTCACATTTCCCTTAAGGCTCTCTCTATTGCCCAAAATGAAAAGTAAATGGCTTTTTAAATACTTAGTACCTTTAGATATTTATAATAAATTAATATTATAATATTAATATAATATTTAATCAAATCAATTCCTTAGTATAAAATTCAAATAAATCATATTTGGGCTCAGAAAATTACAGAAGAATATTTATAAAACAAATCATAATATTTAAAAAATATCGGTGAAATCGGTTTACAGAATGGACACCTAAAGGTCCCGAAATCCTCACTTGTACCGATATAAATAAATTTCTTAAGAATTTTCACCAGTGTCCAAAAATTATGAAAAAAATTCGTGTAAATAAAATACTTCGATCAAAATATCATGGCAAATACGGTTTATAATTTGTTGTTATAATAACTCCAGAAAAAAATTAACAAAGTCAAAAATATGGGTTATTACATGCGGGAAGGCGCACGTGGACATCGGGCATTTGCATGTTGGTAGCGAGTGTGCAAGCACTTGCAGGCCGTAGGTAGCGGGCAGTTGTCGGCGGGAAGCGGGTTGGAAGACAAAATTCGAGCAAGGAAAAAATTAGTTTTGCTAGAATTTTTTTTTATTTTTCTGGCAGCGATTTTCATCGAAAATCCGCCAGAAACTTTTCCAGCAAATTTTTTTGCAAGTAATTATTTTTTGACTCATGCTTTACCAGTACAAATAATTTTTGTTGGAAATGTGTTATTTAGACGAAAATTTGCCATTTTTTATAGAAGGCTGTCGGGAATCAGTCATTTTCCTGTAGTGTTAAAGGTAATGTTGTTGCTTGCTGAGAACCAAGTAGGTGCCAATGGTCATGAGAAGTTTGGGTTATAATATATGTCTCATTAATTACATTGACATGAAATCTAAATAACTCAACAACCATGTGACATCATTTGTGAGTGATCCAAGAGATAACATGGATTAATGACTATGCAATGTCATTGAGAATAACGAGCCGTGCATTTGATCTATGGGCTCTTTAACCCCCTAAATCCAATTGATAAGGCCAATCTCTAAATAGGTTCTAAGGCTGCCTACAAAAAAAAAAAAAATTCTAAGATCTTCCTAAAGGTGAACCCTACTTATTACTATGGGTTGGTGAGTAGAGGGAGCGTTACCGAATGGAGGGCTTGATGATGACTAAGGATAAGTGGAGAAGAACACACATCAATGTGAAATAGATAATAATGAGATGATGTAAGGAAGCTATAATTATCGATTAACCAAGCTTTAGTTCTCAATGCTCTTTGAGTGTTAATAATATGCTGGAAAGCAAAGCCAGGAGAATAGTAAGTGAGAGGAACCAAGAAGCCCAAATTCAAAAGTGAATAAAATGGACTAAAAGAACTTCTTAAAGGTTCTTAAAAGGGTGGGTGCTATGGATGATTCTCCTACATAGAAAAATCCTTTTATCTTTTATATTTATAGAGAATCATGGTAAAATAATGGGATAATATGTCAATCCATATAGTTTTAGGAGCTTAAAAGTTAACAACTGGAAAGCTAACACCTTAATGTATAATGCCCAACACACATTATTGTAAGAGTTGATCAACTCCTTGGAATCTAAAGGGGTTTTCAAGGTAAGGAACGACTTGATATAAAAGAATATGGACAACACTTTCCTCTAAAGAGAGGATGTTAGCCAAGGGTTGGCTAAAAGAAGTCACCAAGATGGCTGAATCCATGAGATGGGTCAGTAAGAGAGGAAAGTTCCAAGGAATTAGGGAATTTTGTCAAGGGTTGGCCAAAAGAGTCATTAATAAGGTCCATATCATAGATCATTACGAGGGGTGACTTCCCAATATGGAGAAACATCAATGAAAAGTATACCAATAAAACATTAATAATAGAATAGTTGTCGACGTCATTTTTGTATGAGATCACTGACCTTTTTCCTGAATTCTATACCCTAAGATCTATTCTAGACCCTAGGATTCTTCTAGACTAATTCAGATCTTAAGATCTATCTAGATCTAAGATCTTCTAGACTCCATACCCTAGAGTCTCTCT